ATGATGATGGATGGATGAGGTGCTACAAACAGTGATGCTCCTGTTTTCCGGAGGTCCTTTTGGATGAGTTTTATCTGAGTTTGGAGGCGGTTTGGAGGCGGGTCAGGTGTGGACCCCCCTCTCCCTCCATAGTCTCCATGTTTGTGACGGGGCTTTGGGTTGTTCTGATGAGAGGGGGTGTTTTGTGTCTTACAGCTGAGCCCATGCTGGTGATGAGTCTAGCTCTGCTGGGAAAACTCTGCATCCTGGCGGCCATTTTCATCTCCATCCTGTACAGCATCGAGCTGTTCCCCACCGGGGTCAGGTACGGATGAATTACCGTTAAACACGCTAATTCGTTGCATTCTTTAAACACATGCAGCTTTAATTAATTTGTTGGGATAAAATCACACAAAATAAAACCGAAAGCCATCAAATTAGTCCTTTAAGTCCTTTAGACACCCTCCAGTTATCAGATTATTTAGAAAACTAAATAAACTCATCTCCACTCTGCCGCTGGTGTGGCTGCAGTTCAGCCCTCTGACCACTAGAGGGAGCTGCCGCCTCATCCAAACTCTGCCTCCTTTATTCTCAGGACATCACACCGTTTGAAATTCTAATCCTTTGGGAGCTTCCTGTGGTTTTGAGCCAATCATTCAACATAGAACTAAATAATTGACCCCAGGAGGCTGTGTTTATTGTTCCCAGGAGCAAAAAAATAAAGACATTTATGGAGAAAAAAGGGAAAGCTTAGCAGACCATTCTCCCTGTTTTCCTTCAGGCACAGCTTTTTTTTTTTTTTTTTTATTATTTTTATTGAAACAAATGATAAGATAATCACAATAAGGAATACAGTTCACTTTTTTTTTTTTGATAAACGTATACTTATGCAGGTATAACTTCTAATATGTACACACAAGTATAAATGTTGAAATAGTCACACTTACTACATATACAAAAAACAAAACAAAATAAGAACAATAAAAGGAGAGAACAATACACCCCATTCCCACCCTGTCTCAGCCCAACATATTCAGTAGAAAAATAAATAATAATAATAATAATAATAATAATAATATATTTTTTTAAAAACATCGACAAAATACAGCAACATAATATTTAATTAGGTAGGCGCTCCAAATCTGAAAAAAAAAAAAGAAAACTGCCATTTTCTGAAAAAATTGTCTGTACATCTTCTCATTGTATATTGGATTTTCTCAAGTTTAAGGAAAAGACACTGGGCGATGGAGGGATGTCCAGCAGACCTCCAGAGTGATAATAATGAGCGTAATAATGGTGTGATAATAATGACCGTAATAATGGTGTGATGATAATGAGCGTAATAATGGTGTGATGATAATGGCGTGATAATAACGAGCGTAATAATGGTGTGATAATAACGAGCGTAATAATGGCGTGATAATAACGAGCGTAATA